GAAGTTTTTGCTTTATTTTTTCATCTGCTTATGATACTGCAACCGAGCATAGTATTAGATTGAGATCACACCTACCTATAACCACACAATTGCTTTATAAAATATAATTATTTTGTTACTATTTCAAGTTAATGATCATTAGTAAAAATGAATCTCTAATTATGGAAAGTTCTCTTATAAACAGTTAAAAATTTAGAACAGGTAGCACAAATAACATACACTTACCGGCAATAATTTTGGCACTCATGCTGTAGCAAAGATGTGGGCGACAGTAGTCTCTTCATCCACTAATTTTTCCATAACCAGCAATGTTTATTTCCATTGAATCTATCTTTGAATTCATGTGATTTTTACCTGGGAACAGGCCTATTGACTGAGCCATTTCTAACTTTAAAATAACTCAACGTACGAAATGGAGAGAAATAAAAAAAATTAGCATACTGAAATGGAGGGAAATTAAAAAAATTAAAAATGTATTAATTGAACCCTAAACTAAAATACCTAAATCTAAATAACTGATCAACGAACTAAATAGTAGCTGTGGTAAGTAATGTAAGAATAAATTGCAACCAATTCAGTATTTTATTATGAAGTACATAAAGCAAACAATTAATGGTAAAATTATCTAAATAATATCATATGACCTACAATCAATATTAAATAGTTTTAAAATGGTGGTCCTTTGAAATGGTGTAATTAAAATGTGAAAAAACAATATACTGTTCATCAATTAGAATAGAAAAGGATATGAAATAGGAAGAAAATCAATAGCACAACACAATTAGTACTGAAGAAACTAGTTAATAATAATAGTAATAATAATAATAATAATAATAATAATAATTAATAATTAATAATAAATTGTCACATAAATACAGCATACACCATGTATGACAAGTCAGGATATGTATATAATCATACAATACACAATACAGATATTTCTAAAAATTAAATACAAGACGTAAATTAAGTTTAAAATTCAATTCTCGTATTAAATACACATATCATGGAAAGCTAATTAATTTTATACATGGTAGTGAAAGAAGACTCTAGTTAAAAATCAATAATAATAAAAAAAATGAAGTTCTTCATAGATTCGTGCCTAGGCTAGGCCCGCCCTTTATATCCAAAAACCAGTTTAGACGAGTTTGATAACATGCAACAGAAAATTAAAAAAATATTAGTACTAGTTTATATTGACGTCTTTATGATGCATGTATTTTGTACTGTAGAATGTATGGTTTAACAGGAAAGCTTTCAGTTTATTTTTGAACGTGTGTGTATCGAGTTTAAGCTTTTAAATTCACTAGGAAGTTTATTATATAGTGTAATGCCTTCTATAAGGGTACTTTTTTGAAATAGTGAAATTTCACTGTGTGGAACATGCAGAATTTCGTTTTATCTAGTATCATAGTTATGAATTGGTGTCCAGAGTAAAGAATCCTCGTTTCCCATAAGTATTTTCTTTGTGAAGATTAATATTTCAAATGTCTGTGAATAGGAGTGGTAAGTTTATTTGTAATTTTTTGAACAGTGGTTTGCAGGATTCATGTTTGCGCGTGGTTTGTCATGTTCTCAATATTCGTTTTTTGGATGATGAAAGTGTGAATACTTTCTGGGAAATTTCCCGCAGAGTATTATTATTCTGTATTTGTAGGTGCGAGTGATATTTGGCAAAGTACACCATTCCACAGTGTATCTAAGTTAAGAATTTGACTTCAGGATGTATATGGCATAACATGACTTGGTAAGCTTGTTGTTTAGATTTGTGATATGGTAGTGACATTGTAGATAACCTTGAATAGTCAATCCAAGGAAAGTTGTTTTTTGTACTATTTTTACAGGCATGTTTTTTAGCATCAGTTGTGCTGAAGGGTGCTTGTGGATTCCGAAAGTTTAGGGAGACAGTTTCACTAGTGTTTATGATGTGTTTATTTTCCTGGAACCATTTTACTAGTGCCTCTAGGACTTTGTGCTTCTTTTTGTAGAGTTTGTTGGGTACTTGCTTTAATAATAATGTTTGTGTCATCTGCAAATAGGACCATTTTGCTCTTTTGTAGGGTCAGAGGCATGTCATTGATGTATAATAGAAATAGTATGGGCCCTAGGATTGATCCTTGTGGCACTCCATAATTTATCATTCTAGGTTGGGAAAAATGGGAAGAAATCTTTTTATCTCTAACATGCTTGATTGTGACTACGTGACAATGATTTGAGAGGTGAGAGGTAAGATTTAACCCATTGATGTGTAATGCCTCTAATTCCCAAAGTTTCAAGTTTGGATAACAGTATGTGATGGTCAATAATGTTGAATGCCTGTGATAGATCTAGAAACAAACCAATGGGGATTTCTTTCTGATCTAGAGCAACACGTATGTCATTTAGAAAGGTGAAGATAGCTGTGTCTGTAGATCTACCATTTCTGAATCCATGTTGGGCCTCTGTCAGTATGTTATTTGAATTGAGAAAATTTTTGAGACTATCATTAAAAAGCTTTTCTAGAATTTTTGAGAATCCGGATAGTAAGGAAATCAGTCTGTAATTCATAAGATCGTGAATGTTGCCTTTTTTGAATAGTGGTTTAACTTTTGCTTTTTTGAGGATTTCTGGCAAGATACCGGTTATTAAGGAGTGGTTACAAATGTGAGTGAGTGGTTCTATTATGTTTGTTGCAGTATGTTTAATGAGGGTGTCAGGGATATTATCCAGTCCTGTAGAGAAACACTTAAACTAACTTAAATAAAATAGAATCAAATAAATTAAGCAACGACAAGAGAAAAGCACTACAAGTTGTGATGTAACTAAAGTACAATAAGTAAATGGAATGTTATGGAAATAATATTGCAAGTCGCTCAAAGCAATGTCAAAGGATCCTAATCTAGATGCAAGGTTTAAATAATGTTGGTGGAATCTCCAACATCTCCCTCCCCCCCCCTCCCCCCCTTTTCTTTTCAAACATAAATCGGTCATAAGTCACTAATTGCATTATTACAGTATACATTAGGGAATTCTGGAAATGTTGGCAACAACAATTGCCAACACAAAAAGAAATGAAAATGTGACTTTTGAGAACATACAGTAAGTGGCCAAATTATTAGGAACAGTACTAAGATTTTTGTGTTTCATAGTGTAACTGAATTTTTCAAACAAACCATTAGTTTTTTATTCTTAAGAGTGTATTATTAAAATGATAAAAATCATAACATAGTTAGGTAAAATTTATTTTACATAAACTTAATACTAGTGTTTAGTGGCGCTACCCTTTGATTCAATTATAGCTTCAATGGTTTGTGGCTCGCTCTTTTTACAGGCTTTTTGCATTTTGTTGTAGGTCAATGTAGTGAGGACATTCTTTGTTGAGAATTTCAATTAACTGACTCTTGGTTGTGATCACTTGCTTGGTGATTGGATTTTTGGTGAGTTTCCACATGTCTTTATAGGGTTCATGTTTGGTGAGTTCCCTGACCAGGGCAAAACGGTATTCTTTTTCTGCCAGGAATGCAGTAATTCTTCAGGCTTTGTGGCACGATGCTGAATCATGCATAAAAATGTATTCTTAATCGCCATTCTTCTAGCTTCGAGCTGTGACAATAGCAGAGTTTCTAATACTCGCTTGTACTGGTCATGCCTTGTGGTCCCTTGTACGATGTATGTGCCCCTTATACCCTTCTCTGAGATCGTAGTCCTGACACTAACCAGTTGTTTAACCGTCTCCACTATAGTCTGGATGATACTGTTCTCTCGTGCATCATGGGACAAATAAACTTAAGTCGACCAAAATCTGTAACGTGGATTCAACAGAGAAGCTTATGAGTAAAGTGTTACAAAAAATCATGAAGAAATGCAATTGTGCTTTAAATATATAAAAAGGTTGTATTACTTGACTCCCATCTGCAACAGTCATATTTGTGTGTTTGGGTTGTGTTCTCTGGGCAGTAACAGTCACTTCTTCATGGCCTGGGTGAGGCGTCGCTTCTTTGGTAGGGCAACGACTGATCAGATTCTCTTTGACTATCCGCCTTCAGACTGTCCTTTTGGAAACTGTTATACTCCTGGCATTTATAATCATAGTCAGATGGGCAACACAATTTTTACAATTTTTGAGATGGATATCCCTGATTCTACATTAGGTACGAAGACTGTTCCTGCTACATTTGCCCACGTGGCCTGCTTCCAAATATTTTTTCAGATACATTTTTATTTTATTCTGTTAACGACAGTTCTCGAAACACCTAAAGCTATCTGTCTGTCAATGTGTGATGTGAAGTAATTGTGTTTGTATTTCTCTAATTTTTCTTGGAGATGTGTCTGAAACCTTACCTTAATAAAATTAAAAGTTTTGAAATTGTGATGTTATATTGTAACAATGAAATTCACATAAGTATTGTAGTAAGGGACAATACTTACATTTTGATTATTTTAAAAGAAAACTTAAAAACTTAAAAACAATTAAAAAATAATTTGTATGTGTTCATTACAGCAGTAGTTTTCAATAACCTTCAACTGAATAAAAGTAATGGAGGCATCCAGTGTTGCCACTTGTTATAAACAATAGAAATGATAACTGTAATGTTACAAATCCTATCAAATTCCAACTTCTTTGCTCGAGACAATTTAAACTAGAAATGACACAAATATGAGTATTGTCCCTAATAATTTGGCCCTTTACTGTATGTCCTGTGACAGTAACATTTTTTAAATGTTGCATTTTTGCCCTTAAATTAAGGTGATGAGAAGAGTACATGCATACATAGTAAATTAAGTATTTTGTGACTCTTCAGTTGTAGTTCGATAAAAAATGTCTATGTTGTTAAGTTTTTACTTTCTAAACATATTTCTGACTCCAACTTGTCTACTCATAAGGATTCCTGATGGAAACAATATTGTTCATTATTGTGACGATCTCTTGGATAAATAATTATTGTAATTGCAATGTAATCAGTATCTTGGCTTACTTTCTGTACAATAAACTTAAGTCTTGTTTTCTGTTTTTTGAACAGGTGCTGTATTGAAGCCATGGAGTTGTATTATTTGCCACAAAAGTTTTGACAATCCTTTTGCAATGAGTGGCCACACTGGACATTGCAAACGTAGGCTTAAAAACGAAAGGATCTGTCGTACTCTCACTGATTTAAAAGAACATTTGCAAGTAGTGGATAGGTATAAATGTGAAATATGTCAACAAAAATTTGCATCAGTGAAGGGTATGAAATTGCATAAATCTCGTGTGGGGCATAATCATGATTTGAAAGAGAATGAAAAGCATTTAAACTTGAATACACCTGTGGCACAATTACAAGACCTCCAGAAATTTGAAGAGAAACTTCGAAACAATCCTCATACACCAATTCCCAACAAATGCACGGCCAGTCAGTATGTGAAACCAATTAAGAACTCAAACACTGATTTTTCACGAGTATTACCATCCAGAAGTAGAAATGTTTATAGCTGTGATTTATGTAGTTTGCGATTTTCTAATGGTTTAAAATTGCAAGTTCATGCATTACAACATAGAAAACAAACACACTACTTAAATTCATTGAAAGGGAAGTTACCTCAAACAGCCTCAAAGATAAATGTAAAACAACGTTTTAGGAAAGGTTTACAAGAACATTCTGGTCAATGTGCAGAAGATAAATTGTATCAGTGTAATGAACGACCTGAAGCATTTTATGCTAGGCTTGGTATCAAAACACATTTGAATGAACATACAGGAACCAGACCTTATAAGTGTGAAAAGTGTGGGAATGCTTTCTACAATAAATGGTCTTTGGCTAGACATAAAAAATTACATAAACTTGAATACGTGTGTAGTCTTTGTGGAATCTCCTTTAGCTTCAGTGAACAGTTAGAAAATCATAAGTGCTCTTTTACAAAGCCTGTTACTATGATTGATGAAGCTTCTGAATACTTACTTCAACCTCTTGATTCATTCAATATCAATAGTTCCAAACATAATGAAAGACACCTGGAAGTAAATATAAAGAGTTCTACAGCTAAAACCATATGTAAGAAGAATTCTTGTAAAATTTGTGGGAAGACTATGGCTTCTAGGATTACTTTGAAAAAGCATATGTATTTACATATTGGAAAAACTAAACAATGTACTTTCTGTGATAAAAAATGCTCTTCTTCATCCCGTTTAAAAGATCACATACGTGCTTGTCACACATTTGAAAAACCATACAAGTGTGACTTATGTGATAAAGCATATGCTTCATCTAACACGCTCAGAATACACAAACAAAAGAAACATGGTAATAAAAAAAACATGATAAAAGAAATATCTACTGAACAACATTCAGCCACACAAGAAAATTTGGTCAAACAACAAAAAATGAGAAGTCATCTTATTAGAAAAGCATTCAAATGCAGTAAGTGCCCTGCCTTGTTAACTACTTATGGCAACTTAAAAAGGCACCTAATACGTTTTCATTTGAAAGGGAAAAAGGAAGAATCAGTAAACATTTATAAATGTGAACACTGCGAAGCATCATTTCATATCAATTCCTCCTTGAACAGACATATAAACCAATTTCATTCAAGAAAGGTTAAAGATATGTCAGCATTTAAATTTGTTTCCCCCACTAGTAATGAAAAGGATGTGTCAGAAGTAACTATAACTAGTTCTATAGCAGGAAATCCTGGTAATCATATCCTAGATTCAGAAAAACCATTTCAATGTAATTTGTGTGATAAATCCTTTTCTCTCTCAAGCCGTTTAAAAGATCATTTACATTGTCACACACTTGAAAAACCTTATCAGTGTCATTTATGTGATAAGGCATATTGTAGTTCTGATGCCCTCAGAGCTCATAGAAATCACAAGCACAAGTTAAAGGGAAAGGGAATAGGAAAGCTAGTGCACCAATGTGATGAATGCCAAACACAGTTCTCAACTTCAGGTTATTTATTGAGGCACAAAAACCGTTTTCATTTGAAAAATACGCAAACAGAGGCAATAGAAGAATACAAATTTGAGCAGAGAGCAGCATCAATTCAATTAATTGAATCTGTTCACCAGCACAATGATCTCAAGTCAGGAAACATTGAAGGCAGTTTTGCATCAAAATCTTATCCAGAAACAAAATCTATTGAGTGTAATTACTGTACAGCATCATATAACTATTGTAAGAGCTTTGTCAAACATCTTTTTCAGAATCATGGGATAAAGGAAGTAGAAACACCAAAGCTGGAATTTGAGGTTGAATGTGATGTGTGTCATAGGTTTCTTCGGAAGGGTAATCTCAAAAGACACAAACGTGATGTTCATAATATAGAGGAATTAGAACAAGATACATCGGAAAATATACTTCCAGATAATATACTCAGGCATGTTCGTCAAAAAAAAACTATCAGTAGCGCATATGCCTTAAATTCTCAATCTAATCATCAATTTAATAAATGTGACACAGTATTTAATCAGAATAAATCTCTTGTAAAGCCCAAAGCTAGTGTTCATGTGGAAAATAAAAAGAAAACATTTGATATTAATCCCAGTAGAAAGTATTTCAAATGTAACTTGTGTAGTGCAAACTTTTTTAATAAGTTGTCTTTGAATAGGCACAAACGTAGTTTACATTTTAACGAAGAAGCTTTTCAATGCAGTGTTTGTCAGAAAATATTTTCATCTGCAATTGTTTTAATCAAACACCATGAGAAGCATTTCAAGAAATTAAATTTCTCTTGTTCTAGGTGTGGAAAATCTTTTAAACAGCTTCAAAACATGGAAGAGCATATGCTCACACATTGTAATCCAACTTCTTTATTTCACTGTGACATTTGTTCTTTATCTTTTCAGACATTGAATGATTTAAAGAATCATAAGCAAAGTCACAAATGTAAATCATCCTTAAGAATCGTAGAATCAAAAAGTAAAGAACTAGTTTCAAAAAAGCACAAATGTGATATATGTAATAAGTTGTTTTCAAGAAAGGATGCAGTGAATCGGCATAAGAAGATCCATGAAAATGTATTCCCTTATAAATGTGAAATATGTGGTGTATTTTTCCAACAGCGTTACAAGCTTGTTCTTCACACAAGGACACATTCAAGGACAATTAATTAGTCTGCTAAACTAGTAAAATAATTGTGAGAAATCACAATACGTTGTATTTTCTTTTATGACCTATTAATGTTTAAGGCTGCATGCATGTAATAATTACGTTGTGTAATATTTCTGTGAGAAAGGTGGGTTCTTCTTTTGAGTTGAGTTTATTTTGTGTAAATTTAAATTGTCAGTGTGACTAATAAATGAAAATTTTCTACTGAAATATATTGATTTACATATGATTTAAAATATAAATACCAAATGATTTCATATATCTTGATATGATATTAATATATTATTATGATATTTATTATTATTTATTATAATTAATTTTATTATTATTGTTATTGTTATTGTTATCTTCATTATCCACAGTATCTATTGGTCGGTATGTCAACCACACACAGGAATGATGACCAGGTGTGTGTGTTGCTTTACTGAAGGTTCAGTGCTTCTGACAATACGGCAAGTATTCAAAATTACAGACTTGTTTATTATATACATTCCTGTCCAAGTGAAGCACTCCAGTGCTCAAGTGTCATTTGGATCACTTAGTAGCTGTAATATATTGCACAGTTGTCACTTACTGAAGTTCCACATGAGTGCGACTTCTTAGATGCGAATCTCACCTCATACATTGCTCTCGGTTATATATATAATATGTTGTGGATATTGGGTATTGATATATCGTTATAATTATTGTTGTTGTTGTTATTATTATTATTATTATTATTATTATTATTATTATTATTATAAATCTAAAGTATGTTATGACATAGTTGAATACCTAGATTAAAATGTGCAGTAAATTGAACAGATTGTGTGCATCAGACACTATTATTTTCAACTGTTTAAACTGCTTTTCCCAACTTTTACTTCTAGAAAGTAATAATGGTTTTGATAATAGGAGTCCTGGGGGCTTGTTTGCGTCCCAAGATGAGATGTTCTCTGCCACAAGTTTCTTATTTTGCGTAAATTTAATTAGCATTTGATGTGACTTAAGTTAGAATGTATATACTATTGATAGGGATGTCTAAATAATGAATGAAAATACTGTGGACTCTTTGTAATTTAAACCCCAGGAATTATTTTTATACAAAATTAGAATGAAACGAGCAAACATGTTATAAAAGAACGGAAATTAAATATATGTGTTATTCTTAATAAACAGTATCTTTGAAAACTATTCTGGTATATTATAAATGAAGAATAAAATGTCGTCTTAAAAGTAAACAACATAAGTATTAGGAAATAAAAAGTTATAACCAATGACTGATTGCAAGCCTTAAAATGTGCAAGCAAACATGCACTGTCAAACAGTCTTACATGCATAATGAAAGGTAAAAATAAATAAAATATATACCACCAAATTTTCATATTTAACTGAAGTTTTCTTTGCATTTTTTTAGAAAAACAGTATTAACAGTATTAACTGTTTTTGTATGGAAAGCCTTCTGGAGTGGTCTATAAACTATGTAATGCTAAAGAGGGGGAGAGGATTTGATGCAGCGGTACGCTGAGTTATGTATGGATAGAGGGATCATAGTTTAGTGTTTTGTAATTCTGATACTAATTTACAAACTTTTTCTTGTTACTGAAATAATTCCTTTTATTCAGTCTTATTCCTAAATAATAAATTAAATTAAAAAATATAAATAAAATAAAAAGTTATGATGTATTAATTATTACAATGAATGGAAAATATTTTTTCATTAATGGAATGGAATGCATGTTGAAATTGTTATATTATGAAGAAAATATTCAAAAGTTATCTATAGTTTATACGAGAATCCAATTAAATTGGGAGGGAGGGGGAGAGGGGGATATATATAGAGATATTCAAAATACTCTTAAATTTGTGTCATGTCCGAGGGTCGTTCCGAAAGTAATGCCTCCTATTTAATTGCATGATAACTACAGTGAAAAATAATCTTAATTCAAGATGTGAGATGAAATATTGTTTAATACGTACCTATTTTTTAACATAGTCCCCTTTTCTTTCTATGCACTTTTCCCACCGAAGAACTAGAGCCTGCATGCCTCGCCCGTAAAAATCTGCACCAGCCGAGGTGACCCACTGACGCAAAGCTGCTTCGACAGCGTCGTTGTTCAAAAATTGACGTCACCGCAATCCATCCTTCATTGGCCCGCACAAGTGGAAGTCTGAAAGTGCCAAATCCGGACCGTATGGTGGGTGTGATAAAACAGTCCAGCCAAATTTGGCAATTTGGTTCGTCGTCTTGAGACTGGAGTGAGGTCTGGCATTGTCGCGTTGCAAGAGAAAAGTTTTCTTCTCAGGCCGAACTCTTGAAATGCGATTTTTCAGTTTGGTCAGAGTTTGAATATACCGGTCGGAGTCTATTGTTCGACCAGGTTCCAGGAAGTCCTTAAGGATTACCCCTCTCCTATCCCAGAAGGTTGTGCACATGATTTTGCCCGCTGAAGACTGGGTTTTGAATTTTTTCTTTGTCGGGGAATTCTTATGGCACCATTCCATGGACTGTCTCGTGGTTTCTGGCTCATAATGATGACACCATGTCGCGTCACCAGTGATTATTCTGTCCAGAAACCTGTCACCTACAGCATCGTATTGCACCAAAAGTTCCCCACAAACTTCCATTCGGTGAAGTTTGTGTTCCTCTTTTAGTGCTCGCGGGATCCACCTTGCGCACAATTTCCGGTAGCTTAATTTATTGAGCATAACTTCTAATACATTGCAGCCAATGCTCATAGCCGCACACAATTCCCTAGTCGAGATGCGCCTATTCGCGCGAATAAGTTGGTCGTGGCGCCCCTCATTGGTGTGGCAGCTGTGCGTGGCCGACCGCAACGTGGTTTGTCTTTCACGTCGCTGTCACCACCACGAAAACGCACTACCCATCGCCGCACTGTACTCACATCTTACTCTCCGTAAAAGTTCTGCAAGCATCTATGAATGTCAATAGGCGCAATTTCCTTCTAAGAGAGAAATTCAATTACGGATCTCTGATTTTCACGCGTGTACACGTTACACGCCATTTTGATACACTGTCACTGTGCTTCTATCTGGCGAGTGGCAACGAAAATAGGAAGGTTCAAATTCCACCATAAGACCACAAAAATTTGTTTTTGATGTCATAAGCTCAAAAAATAAATAAATTGGGAGGCATTACTTTTGGAACGACCTACGTAATTTATTGATGGTTCCTTCTCTGCAAACCCTCCCTTTTACTGATTATACGATTTCTTGACTGTGATAATTTCATTTCTTGAATTTGCATTTGTAAAGAGTAATGTCGGTGCAAAGTATTGCAGAAGTAGGACCCAGCATATCGTGTTAAGTTAAGCCAACCGGCATAGACCCTTCCAGTAAGATCCTTTAAATTCCCAGACCTATGACCTGCAACTGCTGCTACTGGCCATAAAGGTAATTCTGTATTTATCCGAATTTAAGACAACCCCATAAGGTAATACTGTATTTATCCGAATTTAAGACAACTCCATAAGGTAATACTGTATTTATCCGAATTTAAGACAACCCCATAAGGTAATACTGTATTTATCCGAATTTAAGACAACCCCATAATTTTGAAGAGGCTGCCTGAGATTTTTGAACATTTTTAACTAATTCATACCATTTAGTCGAAGTAAAATTGCAAATTGACTAGAAAGGTGTCTTTTGGATGAAAATAATATAACAAAGCCCCAGATATTTATATTTTAAAAAATTGGTATTGGGTTCTGTCAGTATATAAATATTTTATAGGATCTTTTATGTACATTTTAGGAACTTACATGCCTTTTGGAATATATGTCGTATGAATTACATTTATCAGTACTCATTTTGCACACACACACACACATTTATATATATATATATATATATATATATATATATATATATATATATATATAT